ACATGGATTCTACAGCCTTCACCCAAGGCTCCACCTTCGTGCAGTATGTTGATGACCTTCTGCTTTATGGCCAAACTAAACAAGGTGCCCTTACAGAATCTCTCATTTTCCTAAAATCATTAGCTAAATAAAGCCTATAGATCTAAACTTCACTTAGTGCAAATAACTGTTACTTACTCAAGGCGTAAAATACCTCAGGGCACTCAAAAGCTCACTCCAAAATGCCTTGAGTCAGTTTGTCCATCCCCCTTGTAGCTGGAGTCCTAATTTTGCTGCTATTGCCAAACCACTACATGCTCTCCTCCCACTACCACTCCAGGGGGTCCTCGGAGGCATTAACTTCCCTTGAATCCTTAAAATTAGCATTGTCCACACCCCTTGCTCTTAGGGCACTCAATTTTAATAAACCTTTTCACCGATATTGTCATGAAAATAATGCAAGTATTCTAGGGCAACCCTTTGCCTCTCAGATACACCCATTAGCATATTTGTCACGCTCGGTTCACTCCTATAGCAGCAGGCAAGCCTCATGCCTGTGCACAATAGCAGCAGCTGCTGCCCTAATTGCTAAAGCAACACTCTTGAGCTAGGCTCCCCCATTCACCTCTATGTTCCCCATGCTGTATCCGCTCTCTTACAAGTTCATAAGGCACAGCATCTCTCCACATGGAGAGAGATCACCTATGAGCAGGCCTATTAACCAATCCTTCCTTTATCATTAAATTGATAACTGAGATCATTCCTATCTTTGGTATTCCTTTATGGATTGAGTCAGACCAAGGAACTCATTGCACAGCAGAGATAAACAACTTGCTTGCAAAAACTTTGGGGTACTCAAAATTGCATACCCCATACCATCCACAATCCTCAGGACAAATGGAATATAAAAGTCTGGACATTAAAGGGACTTTGGGAAAAGTCTGTCAAGAAACTGGACTTAAGTGGTCAAAAGTATTACATCCAGCCCTTATATAAATTCAGAATACTCTGAATAGAAGACACGGATTAACCACTTTTGAAATAGCATTTAGACACCCTATGCCTGGTGGCACCACTAAACCTTCCATTCCTGGTTAAATGAACACTGTGGGGATTTACATGAACAATTTGATGCTAAGCGACATTCAGGCACTAATATACTTGAAGCATATCATCAATTGCTAAAAAAAGGCATAGCCTCCACCAACAACTGACAAGCCTCGCTCACCTTTTTGACCAGGAGATCATGTGTACATCACAGTTTTTAGAAGAATGCACACACTGTCACCTCTCTGGGAAGGCCCATATTAAGTAGTGCTGACCACCTACACTGCCATCAGAATAAAGGAAAAATCTTCCTGGGTCCACACAAGTCACACCAAGCTAGATCCTGATCAGTGCTCCCAAGAAAATTAGAAAATTACCCCTTGAGGCAACCTTAAAGTAAACATTTCCAGGACCAATTCCCAGACCCCACAAGTAGACAGTATTTCTTCGAAGTAGACAGTTTTTCCCAAGAACATGGATCAAGAAATTCTATTTCCACCTGTTTTCTCCCCCCTTTTAGATTTCCCTACTACTCTTCCTCAGAAAAAAAGAAAAAGCAAACAAACAAAAAACACAGCCTCTTTTTTTTCACTGACAAAAGCCCTTTCCCTAGTCTGTTGATAGACTGCTAAAAAGTTGATTGGAAACTATCTTCATCTAGCCTATTCTCCCCCGGATCCTCCATTATGGACCTTTTTCAAACTGTGCCTTGCTCTTATTAACCCTTACTGTTTTTCCAACAGGTCGGGCACAGACCCAGCACCGGTTTGTACCAGTCTTCCAACCCCTGGTTAATATAACCGATCAATCTGATTGTTAATTATAACAACATCTGGGGAACCTGCAGCCTTAGGGCCACATGTGGCCTTCTGGGTCCTTGAGTGGGGCCTTTTGACTGAATCTAAATTTTACAGAACAAATCCTTTTAATAAAGAGATTTGTTCTATGAAGTTTGGATTTGGTTGAGGGGTCACACTTGGGGATCTGGAGGGACACATGTGGCCTTGAGGCCACAGGTTCCCCACCCCTGCAATGTGAGTGTTTGCTGGATAGTCTGGAGCTTGGATATATGCTAAGAAAAAACAATATCACACTATTTCTCTTTTTGGTGAGTCAATTGGACACAGAGAAATCTCTATGAGAACTGAAGGACTGCCCTTTGCTCTGGTGAAGTCATTAGAAAAGCAAGGATGATGCTGGACTTCTCTTAGGTAACAAACCAATGAGATATTGCAATCAAACCCTGTGGTTGGATTCCAATGATAATGCCCTTACACCTCTCAAAAAGTTCATAAACAGTCTTGACACTGACACTTATGATGTAAACACTTGCCACATCACCAGAAGTTACAAAGGGCTCCCAAGTCAGCCCTGTGTAACCTGGGGAAGCTCACCTGTTCCCCTCATTAGGCTAGCAGACATCAAAGATTACATACAAAAGACAAAAACTCTGGACTAATTTGGCCAGGTAACAAAATTAAGCCCTGTGACTACCAAAACCAAATTAAAGGCCTCCTATATCCGGTATTTTGCAACCTGTTCTGTTCCTATGAACTGACAGGGACACCTGCAGGATGGAGATGTACAGAGGTCAATATGACAAAAGACAAGTCACAACAAAGCCCAACCTGAGCAGGAGGGGGAGGGTCACAAATTCTACTCTGACCTTATCTGTGAACAACACTGGTCTGTTTATCTTATGTGGTAATAAGATACATAAAGGATTCCCACCTAGATGACCAGGCAATGCAGACTCAGATACTTAGCACCTTCTGTCACCAGGTACTCTATGTTAAATGCTAGCCAAATCACAAACTTGGGCTCTTTGTTCTTAAGGTAATACCACACAAATGTGCTAGACGTAATATTGAAAACCCACTTGTGTATCACAGTTCTTAGGACCACACAAATGTACTAGATGGAACATTGAAAATCTACTTGTATATCACAATTCTAAGTTTATTCAATGTTGAGAGATTTTTTCCCAGGCATTGGAGTTAACAAGATTGAAAAGGCAATTCTAAATCTTTTCTAAATAATAGATCAAAAGTTCTCGTCATCAGCTGGGCATGGTGGCTCATGCCTGTAATCCCAGCACTCTGGGAGGCCGAGGCAGGCGGATTGTTTGAGCTCAGGAGTTCGAGACCAGCCTGAGCAAGAGTGAGATCCCGTCTCTACTAAAAAAAATAGAAAGAAATTATCTGGACAACTAAAAATATATAGAAAAAATTAGCCGAGCATGGTGGCACATGCCTGTAGTCCCAGCTACTCGGGAGGCTGAGGCAGGAGGATCGCTTGAGCCCAGGAGTTCAAGGTTGCTGTGAGCTAGGCTAACGCCACGGCACTCACTCTAGTCAGGGCAACAGAGTGAGACTCTGTCTCAAAAAAAAAAAAAAGTTCAACATTCCTATGCAAACATTAAAAACACTCCAATCAGAGTTGATAGTTTAGCCTCTGTTGTACTTCAGAATTGCTGTGTCCTAGAGACACTGACAGCCCAAGAGGGAGGAGCCTGTGCAATCAGTGGAGAAAAATGCTGCTTCTATATGAATCATTCTGGACAGTCTAATCTACACCTTTTAAAAGACAAGATAAACATTCTTCATCAAATAAATGAAGCTAAAATATTTTATTGGATGGACCAATTCCCAAGAATGGGAGACAGGTTTAATAGACTACGAGGAACAGTGCTCAGATTTGTTCTTTTCTGTTGATTCATTCTCATCCTAATCTACGTTCTTCTCTTCCTTTGCAGATCCTTTGTGGCACAGCTACTAACTCAACTTTTCTCTCTACAGCCACCAGATCAGCTTTTAATGTTTGAAACTTCTAGGGAAGTTTCAGACCAGGAAAAAGGAAGAGTGAAAGATGTGCTATCCCTAAATAAGCCAGATTGCTATACAGATTATTTCAAGTTAAAAACACTGGAGAAATTGTAGGTTCAGAAAGGGTGAGCTGACCTATCACTTCATGCACACAGCAAGCGATAAAGACTCCTCTGGGAGGGATACCCTCTCCATACCAGAGAAAGTGGCTCAGACATCACCAGAGACTTAAAATTGCAGGCTGTGACGTATGTGAATAAACATACTTAACAAAGTAACCCTCATCTTCCACCTGTTTTACACCTCCCATATTTATCCTAGTGATTCTCCTAGAAAATTTACTGCCCCTAGCCAGATTTTCTTTGTCTCCTCATTTCTTCTTAAATTTATGCTTTGTCTAAAAAGTATAAAGCATCTTGCTTCGTCCACTTCTTTGCACTTTGCTCTCTTGTGAAGATCCCCATGTACATGCAAAACTAATAAATGTGTAAGCTTTTCTCTAGTTCCTCTGCCTGGTGTCAATCTGGTTTCTAGATTCAGCTGAAGAGCTCGCTAAGAACTAAAAGCAAGGCTGGAGGTGATCTCTGGCTCGCCTACACAAGCATATGTGCATATGTATACGAAGTAAAGGCACTAAAACCCAGAAAACATACAGTGGAAGTATAACTGTTTTTATATCAATAATTTAACAAGATATTTTTACTTATAAAATTATAAATATTATATTAAAATTATTTCCAAAAATCTTACAAGTTGAATGACAATGTATTCCAAGGGAAAGTATGAAGTCAAGTCTCATTTGATAAACAGCCAAACAAAGTGGTATTTCGTTTTTTCTATATGCTAAAGAAACAGGAGTAGACAGTAGGTATTAATCCAGAGGCATTAATATATCAGGACCATACATACTATGAGAGAAAGCTAGCTTAATGATATTAGATATACATGAGAGCTAATTAGTAATAAGTGGATTAAAAATTTGTTAATAATATTGCAATTTGATTATTTAGTCTTAATTATTTAATCAAGTCTTTTAAAAATTCCAGGTAGGTATAATGTTAACCATGGAGTTACACATAAATACTTCAAGCAAACCTTCAACTCTGGAATTAACACAGCTACCACAAGTCAAGCACAAATGAAGTTTACCTGCAGTAGGATCTTTGGCCAATGAGTTATCCAAGGCACTTGTTACTGACTGGAAAAGATTCATTTTTTGAGTTTGCCCTGTGAAAATCAAAAAATATTTCATTCATTGCAAGATATGTAAAAACAACCTGTTTCCTAATAGTTTATTACAACTTGACTCAAATCAAGGTACAAAGTATAGACTATATTATGTGAATTTACTGAATTATTTACAATGATGCTGGCTCTGTGGGAGATAGAGAAACAATACAGATCTGAAGAAGTTTGTTGATGGGGCAAAAATTACACATAGTAAACAATAACAAAACAAGTATAAAAAAGAAAGAAGGAATATATCCAAGTGGCTAAATGTGTACAGACAGTAAAAGCTACGGAAAGTCAGCAAAGGAGACCAGCCACAGTGAGAGTGGTCTGAAAAGACACCATGGACAGGAGTTGGGAACCTAAGCCACAAAGAAGGCACGTGACCAGTGGCCTGTGTTAAATATGCCATCAACAGCAAATGGTCATGAAACATAAAACAATGAGGATGACCCTAAAACAAAGATAAACTTCAGTGCCCAGAACTGCTGGAGTTGGGAGAACATCATACTCCTATGCCTGCACACACCTCACTTAGTCCTTGCTGTTGTCTCATTACTGAAGTAGAATCTCTGTGAGCCAATGCCTATGCCCCTAAAGGGATTGTTTGGTAGGAATACATGGAGCAATACACGTAATGTACTTGGAACAGTACCTGCTCCAGTGAGTGCTGCATAAATATTAGCTACTTAGTGTTAGATTCTGGGCTTTGTCTATGTCCTTCATCTTGGCCTTAGCACTATTCTGAATGGTATAGTAAAGCTTCATTTGATAAAGTTCCAAACATTGGAATTCAGAAACACCATGACCTTAGAACTTTGAATTTAAGCCCAGGTGCTGCCCAGCACCCAGAGTCATCCCAGAGCTTTAGATCAACTCTTCTCCCAAAGCACTATTCAGAGCACAGAAAGGCCTCCGCCTATGCCTTCTCTGATCCCCAGGCTCAGGCTTCACCTTAGTGCCTGATCTACGCACTGGTGGGCACCTCATCCCACAGGATGCTCACATCAAATCCCTTCAGTACCTGCTGCTTACCCTGACCACTGTACCATCTAAGCTCCATGCTCTTCAGCAGTACAGGATGTCCCAAAAGTTAAGGTCTAATTCCCAGTGTGGGTCACAATAGCTACTGCTGTTGCCTTCAACACCCTGACCATGAGACAGTGGTCACTTACACTTTTCCTGGAGACCCATTCCCTTCCCTAGCCTGGCCTGGCTCCACAGCAGGCTCTGACCTATGACATCTTTAATCCTTCTATTATCCACTGACACCCTAGCCTTCTGATGTTCTGCCTTCTCGGGCTTCTGAAGTCTCTCTGAGCCTTTCAACAGCACTGAATGCCCAGGCTTCAGGTCTTGGCAATCCCCGGTCAGGTATGTCCTGCTGCCCTGGGTGCCTGGAATAACCTGTTTCTCCTCTTATTTCTGGTGGGGGTAATAGGAATTTATTGAAGAAAGTATTGGTATATCACCTGGCCAAAAGGATACACAATCACACCACATGTCCATAACTACTTCAAAATTTATTTTTCTTTGGGCTAAGATTACATCATTTAATAGATACAAGCGTACCCTGTTTTATTGCACTTCATTTTCTCGTGCTTCACAAATATCGTGTTTTTACAAATTGAAGGTTTGTGGCAACCCTACATTGACCAAATCTATCAGCACCATTTTTCCAACATGTGCTCACTTTGTGTCTCTCTGTCACATTTTGGTAATTCTCATAATATTTCAAACTTTTTCATTATTATTATATCTGTTAGTGTGACCTGTGATCAGTAATATTTGAGGTTACTACTGTAACCACAAACCACACCCATATAAGACAGCAAACTTAACTGGTAAATGTTGTGTGTATTCTGACTACTCCACTGACCGGCCATTCCCCCAACTCTCTCCCTCTGCCCCAATTTCCCTATTCCCTGAGACACAACAATATTGAAATTAGGCCAATTAATTACTTTATAATTGCCTCTAAGTGTTCAAGTGAAAGGAAGAATCACACATCTCTCATTTTAAATCAAAAGCTAGAAATGATTAAGCTTAGTGAGGAAGGTATGTTGAAAGCCGAGACAGGCTGAAAGCTAAGCCTCTTATGCCAAACAACCTAGTTGGGAATGCAAAGGAAAAGCTCTTGAAGAAAATTAAAAGGGTTATTCCAGTGAAAATTAATTATCCGGAAGTTATTTCAGTAAGCTCAAACCAGTGTATAAGTTCAATCTGAAGTTTGAATAAATTGGGTGTTGGTGCAAAGCCCACAGGAAATATATTACAAATAGAGGTCTTTACAGGTAAAAATTGCTTTAAAATGGTAACGGTCCTCTTTCATTCATTAGGATATTTAGAAAACAGCCCTTTGCAAAATTCTACTAAATATTTTTAAAGAACATATTTCAAACAAGTCTCAAAGATGTATTTCAAAGGAAGCACTGCCTATACAGGGGGATTTATTTTACCAAGATGAGCACATATGGTAAATAATATCCACCACCCTGCTCCCCCCCACCTCTGATCCCTTCCCCCCCATCTGGGAAAAATTGTCTTCCATGATGCCAAAAAGGTTGGAGACTGCTAAATTTTAGAACATTCACGATTCATGGGAGGAGGTCAAAATGTCAACATTAATAGGAATTTGGAAAAAGTTGATTCCAACTCTCAAGACTTTTGTGGAGGAAGTCACTGCCCATGTGGTTCTCTAGTCTAGCAAGAGAACTAGAATTAGAAGTGGAGCCTGAAGACCTGACTGAATTGCTGCAGGCTCATGATAAAACTTAAATAGATAAGGAGTTGTTTCATAGGAATGAGCAAAGAAAGCAGTTTCTTAAAATGGAATCTAATCCTGGTGAAGATGCTATGAACAATGTTGAAATGACAATGAAGGATTTAGAATATTATATAAACTTAGTTGATAAAGCAGCAGCAAGGTTTGACAGGATTGCCTCCAATTTTGAAAGAAGTTCTGTGGGTAAAATGCTGTCAAACAGCCTCATAAGCTACAGAGAAATCTCTCGTGAAAGGAAGAGTCAATCAAGGCAGCAAACTTCATTGTTGTCTTATTTTAAGAAATTGCCACAGCCACCCCAACCTTCAGCAGCCACCACCCCAATCAGTCAGCAGCCATCAACATCGAAGCAAGACCTGCCACCACCAAAAAGATTATGACTTGATGAAAGTTCAGATGATTATTAGCATTTTTCGGCAATGAAGTATTTTTTAATTAAGATTCAGGAAAAATCCAAATATCAAGGGCTGGACATTTTGTATTAAAATGTTAATGAGCTGGGCTCAGTGGCTCATGCCTGCAGTCCCAGTTACTCAGGAGGCTGAGGTAGGAGGATCACTTGAGCCCAAGAATTTGGGGCTACAGTGTGATAGGATCACACCTGTGAATAGCCAGTGTACTCCTGCCTGGGCAACATAGCAAGACCTTGTCTCAAAAAAAAAAGTAATGAAAGATCTATAAGGTGCCAGCGTATATCACATATCCATGTGTATATCACATATCCATGAAAAGAAAGGAAATAAACAGTATGGGGGTAGGGTTGTGAAAAGTGAGAGGACCTACGCTTTAAAGTTGAAGAGACTGTGGCTAGAGTCCCTGGGTTACCCCATCTCGGGTCACCTACGTGGTAACTTCTGTCATGGTGCTATCGCACTTTCCTTCCTTTGGCTGGCTCCTTCTCTACTCAATCTTGATGTGATTTTTATATGCTGGTGACTCCCAAATGGTTATCTCCAACCCAGCCAGACTTCTCCTCTTAGCTCCTGACTTTTATATCCAACAGTTGTCAGTTCTCCAACTTTGGTGTCCTGGGCTTTTCTAACTCAACAAGCACAAAACTGAACTCTTGGTGTCTGCTCCCAAATCTAGTCTTTTCCAGCTTAGCAAACAGCACTCCCCTCCACCCAGGTACCCAAACAACAAACCAAAAAGGCATCCCTTGCAGAGCAAAAGGAATGCTTATACACTGTTATTGGGACTGCAAGTTAGTACAACCCTTATGGAAAACAGTATGGAGATTTCTCAAAGAACTAAAAGTAGACCTACTCTTCAATCCAGCAATCCCACTACTGGGTATCTACCCAAAGAAAAAGAAGTCACTTTATCAAAAAGATACCTACACTCGAATGTTTATTGCAGCACAATTCACAATATAGCAAAGATGTGTAATCAACCCAAGTGCCCATCAATTCATGAGTGGATTAATACAATGTGGTATGTATACCATGGAGTACTACTCAGTCATAAAAAACAATGAATTAACACCTTTTGCAGCAATATGGAAGGAACTGGAGACCATTATCCTAAGCAAAGTAACTAAAGAATGGAAAAATGACCACGTGTATTCTCTAATACAGTGGTCCCCAACCTTTTTGGCACCATGGACCAGTTTCATGGAAGACAATTTTTCCACAGGGGGTGGAGAGAGGAAGGTAGAACTCAGGCAGTGATGCCAGCAGGGGAAATGACTGTAAATACAGCTGAAGCTTGTTCACTCACCCACCACGCACCCCCTCCTGTGTGACCCTGGTTTCTAAGTTTCCTGAAAGATAAATTTTCCACAGATGGGGGCAGGGGGCGGAGCTCAGGCAGTGATAGGAGGCCCAGTTCCTAACAGGTGAGGACCAGTGCCTGGCTGCGGCCCCAGGGGGTTGGGGACCACAGCTCTAACAAATTGGAACTAACCGATGGGCACACAAGTACACAGAGGGAAGTAAAAGTCATTGGAAATCAAGCAGGGAAAGGGGAGAGAAGGGGAAGGGCAAAAACCCATCCGACGGGTACAGTGAACACTATTCAGGTGATGGGCACATTCATAGCCCTGACTTAAGCCATGTATCAAAAACATCTGTATCCTCTTATCTTTTTGAAATTAAAAAAAATTTAAAAAGGCATTCTTGATGTCTTCCTTTTATTCACACCTTCACATCCAATCTATCAAATCCTGTTTCCAAATATATTAATAGTACTTCCAAAATATAGCTTAAATCTA